TCTGCCTTGCCGCCCGCCGTCCTGCTAGCGGTTGGCATTGCATGTCCCTATTTTCGTGAAGCAAAATGCAAGGAGATCTGAAACTGAAGCATGTTTTTCTAACAGCTAACCCCCTCCCCGCCCCCCCCGTTGCAACTGGAATACGTTAGCTTTCTCGTGTCTGAAGGTATAGCTTTGCATTTTTAATGCGTGTCATTTTCTGGTCTTCCTTTTAGAACATCTTGCACAGAATATTTCCAAGTCACACATGGAAACTTGCCAGTACTTGAGAGAGGAGCTACAGCAGATAACATGGCAGACTTTTCTGCAGGAAGAAATTGAGAACTATCAGAACAAGGTATAACAGCATGCCAAGCTACGGCATGCTTTTTTTAAAAGCATGGTATTTCCGTAACACACTGCAAAATTCACTTTTTCACTGCTTTCTGTTTACTATCGGGAATGTATATTTTTGTGTGTTTTCAAAAAAAATAATACCCTAGAATCAAAAGCGGCAAGATGGTTAGGATATCCTTTGCATGTGTGATTTTTACAAGCACAGGAAAAGGCAAAGCCATACACCTAAAATCTATCTGTCTGTGATTGATAAACAAGGATAAGAAACCAGAGAAATTTTTTCAATCCTAGATGGTGTGTTATTTTCATTTCTTAATTTGTAATCTCCCGGATCAACACCACCACCACCACCAGAAAAAGCTGAAGCCACCAAGTTTTGTCATTTTACATGGTGTGTTTTGATTTGAGCTTAGAAACACAGAACTCTCTCAGATTTCCAGCCTTCAGTGCCTGCTTGTAATCCTGTTTCATTCTACAGTTGTCACTCAGTGTTTCAGTTTTATTTGTAGAACAGCAGCACGCTGCTGCCATACCACCAGTGGGGACTGTAAGATGTAATCCATGTTTGTATTTCCAATATGCCTTCCATCCACAAACTACTACCAAACGGCTACTTGTGGAAGACTGTCTTGGGAAGCACTATTGAAAGCACGCTGTTCTTGGAACTTATTTTTCAGTTCCGCAAAAAAATATTTACCATTTTTTCCACTCATTAGGTAATGTCATTCTGAATATCGACATATGAAAAAATCACTACTTGCACGCCTTCTTTATGTTGTTAACAAGATGATCTTCATATACGTATCTCTTTATATGTATCTTTATGAAGGCAAGCTAGTTAGATAATTTACATTCAGTACAAAATACAGAAGTTGATAGGAAAAATGTGATTATGCACTGCTAGTGTAAATTGGCATTTTCTTTTGATGCAGTGAATAAAATTCCCACTGAAATCACCTGAATCGTTATACTTTGACATTTTTGGCTTATGAAGTAAAAACACTCCAACCTGGATCTCTTCTGACATCGCTGAAGAAGTCTTAAATGTTTGCATTGTCACTCATCCACATGAGGCTTTGGCTTTGAGGTTAATTCCCCTTGTCTTATAAGCAGACTGTAGCCAGGAGTGCTGAAGAGAGTTCACTCCGCTTTTATCATCTCGGTTTTTCTTTATGAAAATGGGCTTTCCAGACCTTGATTAGTAATTTTTCAATTTTTCTTCTCTCTCAAACAGCAAAGGGAGGTAATGTGGCAGTTATGCGCAGTCAAAATAACAGAAGCTATACAGTATGTAGTGGAATTTGCCAAACGCATTGATGGCTTTATGGAACTGTGTCAAAACGATCAAATTGTGCTTTTAAAAGCAGGTATGTGGGTCAGTTTTAAGGTCTGCTTCTATTAGTTTTGACTGAGGAAGGTGTTACCTGTATACAGCGACTGTATACACATATATACATGTTGTACAATGATCATTTAAAATAATACAGGGGGAAAGCCTTACAAATTGTCTGTGTCTTTGAAGTACTGTACTTTCTGAGTTCCTCTGGATAGAACGAGCTCAAGTCTACATATGAAATTTTCATTATGAACAAAGGGAGCAATGAGTGTGTAAAGATGGAAAAGTTGGATTCAAATTTTTTATTTTGGCTTACTAATAGTGAATAACATATTTCGAGATAAATATCCAGATTGTTCTATGCAAGGTGTCGTAGAAATAATGCGGTTTACAAATACTGGACAAAGTTGTCAAAGCTTCGGAACATAAGTCTAAATAAGCTGCTTTGACTTCAGAGACTTCATTAATAAAAAATTATTCGAGTTTATTAGCATTAGCTAAGTTCCTTTAGCAAAAACTTCTAAACGGGTTTATGGGAATTCTTTTAATGCTACTAGCCAATCAAACTATGCTCTGTTACACCACAGAAACCTACTACCCTGCTCAATTGATACTGAATGCAGAGCACAGGAAATTTTTAAATCCTCATTTGCTCTTTGCAACTGAAGTCTCTACTTAAATAGTCAAACATACATTGTTTCTGTTTTAGGGTCTTTAGAGGTTGTGTTCATCAGAATGTGCCGTGCCTTTGACTCCCAGAACAACACAGTCTACTTTGATGGCAAGTATGCTAGCCCAGAGGTTTTCAAGTCCTTAGGTAAGGAAATGTCAAGTGTTGTATCTTATAAAAACAGAATAAAAATAATAAGGTAGAAAAGCAAGGGGACAGCTGCTTTGAAAAATTCAGGCTATAGTATTCAAATAAGAGTTCCAAAGCTCAAACTGCTTATTTTGTAAGCAGTCATGCTGGCTCTGTTTGAGGCCAAGCTGATTTCAGGAGTTAAAACTGCTTAACTCCATGCAGTAAAGGACTGTTGGTGTTGAAATTCAACACGTAGATCAGGGCAGAGCAGTTTGGACACACTTGTTAAGAACAGAAGCCCAGACTTCATATCTAGTGTAACATTTTATATATCCTGTTGGCAAAAGCAGCAGACTTTAAGCTAATTTTGGATATGCTGACGTTACTGCTTTGAAGATGTTAGTACTGTTTTGTAATATGCAAAGTCCAGTTATTTGCAGATATAATACTGTAAATCAATTTTTTTATTAAACAACAGTTTATAATTTTGATTTTTTTTCTGTATATTTTTACTCATTTTAAAAGGATGCATTTCACTGAGTATAGATTTGGGATGTAAGCCATTTTGGAGGGCAGTGAAATATGGCAGTGGAGAATCCTGTACAATTACTGAAGTACTCGCTGCCTTTCTAAAACACCTCAAGGTACAAGGTCTGAGCACAAACAATTCAGAGAATGCAGTATCAGATGTGGGTTCCAGTGAAACATAACTTTCATCTGTTACCAACTACATCCAGAAATTTAGGCTGGGCTGGGGCTGAGATCTGCAGAGGGGAGCCCTCTTCCATCAGGTTGCAATCCCCTTCAAAGCAGGGCTCCACTTTGGCGAACTGCGTAACAGCATGTGTAACAGCAGCAGTAACCTGACTTACACCTGTGTGAGCAAGAGAATGGATGAAAGGAGACAGAGTTCCTTTTCTGCATGAAAAGCTTTCAGACCTTGGCTTCTCCCTTTGCTCCTGCATGGACCTTGTATGTCTCTCTCCCCTCCCTCTTCTGTGTGCTCAATAGTCTTAAAATCAGCACTTTTCAAGTACACATTTCAAACCTCCAGTCGACAGTGACATGAGAAAGTTCCATTTAGAACAGACACAAAGCTAAACCAGTTTTGAGCTTGAAAATGGCCTGGGTTTTATCCGTATTTATCCCAGAAGCACCACACGTGGAAAAGATACAGCGTGGAAAACCTCCAAAATACTGGCTGCCAGGGTGTGGGAGCTGGGGACTCATGGAACTGGGGTAATAAGCTCAAGCATGAGTGAGATCTCACTACCATCACTCCACAGTCCTTAAGGAGCAGACCATTCACCTATGAAGTATTTTTACATCCGTTTTTCACCTCCATCAGAATAAATCAACAACTCTGTAGCTCTGAAGTAGTTTTAAACAATGTGGCATGAGCTGTACCTTCTTTTTGGCAGGTTGTGAAGACTTCATTAGTTTTGTGTTTGAATTTGGAAAAAGTTTATGTTCTATGCACCTGACAGAAGATGAGATAGCTTTGTTTTCTGCGTTTGTTTTAATGTCGGCAGGTAAGAGATAAAAGTTTGCTCTAGGTTTATTTGGTAGACGTAATTTTTATTTTGAAGTCTTTTTAATGATAATGTTAAGACTATTGGACAGTGTGAAATGTCATCATCTTTTTTAGTGTCTCCTCCTTCACCAAAGTTTTTATTTTAATTTTTTAATATTTTTTATTTTAATAAACACATTAAAACTATGAATTTAGGAATAAATTTGTTAAGTTGGAAATCCTAATCTAAGCCCGTGTTTTCTGAATTTTCACCTCGTTGAGGACTCCGCTTCTTTGCAAAAGCTTAATTGCATGTGAGTGAGACCACTGGGTTAATCTAGGTGAGACAGGCAGAAGGTAGCCACTGAATTTATATAGTCAGCTGTCACTGTATGCGAGCTTGCATCTGTAGCAGAATTATCTCAAGCACATGACAGAATGCTTCCAGTGTCACCTCAGGTCTGTCAAGCGGGGTTGCCATTTTAGTGTGGTACAAAGGTACCGAGGTAGCTTAGGTATCTGTCCCCATCGTGAAACTGTGTACACTGAGAACTATGGTGCCAGACATACAACCCACCCCAAGAGTCAGCCTGGGTCTACCATGCCCATGACTAAAATAACTGAATAATCTCAAGTAGATACACACAGTACTCCAGGTTCTGGGAAGGCTTATTAGGTCAGGTGAAACAAGATCCCGGTGCAGAAAGTCAGTTCGTGTCTGGCATAACACCCAAGGAAATAAACGCTCTGTTTTTAGACTGCAGCATAGTGGCCTCAGGAGTGGTGGTGGAAGAGTCTGTTAGGAACAGTGGGTTTAGTCTCACGCTGTTTGCCAGTTCAGAAGTATGTTAGCCCTGTGTCTTAGTATGTAAGCCACAGAATCCCACAGTTCTGCCACACAGAGGATATAGCAGCTAATACTGCTTTTCTGCTAGGAAGTTTAGGAGCTTTTTTTTTTTTTAATAGCTGAATGTTTGCTTCTGATTTTTCTGTATGTCACTGTAGATCTTAGCAAGAAGATCGACTCCAACTACTTGTTCATTGTGCGATCTATTCATTTCCCACTAAAAAGTTGCTAGCTTCATTTTGTAATAACTCCTACTCAGATACGCTGCATTCTTCTAATTAAGGGCTTCATAAAAGTAATTTTAAATGCACGTAATAAATATACTCCAAAACCTATGAATTTTGAAACTGATTTTCTATATGAGAGTATATAAGAAGTGGAAGGAAGGTTGCAAACAAGAAAGATGAATCTGTAACAGACTTAGTACTTCCTGGTGCACTGTGATTGATGTGTGCAGTACTAGAGGTGTTAACTCCATTTATATTTAGATCGCTCATGGCTTCAGGAGAAAGTAAAAATTGAAAAACTCCAACAGAAGATCCAGCTAGCACTTCAGCATGTCCTACAGAAGAACCACCGAGAAGATGGAATTCTAACAAAGGTAAGACTCCTACTGTGCCATGTCACATGACTGTGAAAGTATGCTTTCTTATCAACGGTATCCCAATGATGGTGTAAAAGCTTTTATGCAGTTAATTTGTTATTTCTAAAACCAGAATTCTTTGTTCTTTATTCAAAATAAAGGTGCTTAGCTGAAACTGTTTACTAAAAACTAGAAGAGGTGAAATGATGATGTACTGGGGAACAAGGTTGATAATGGTCTGAAAAGAAGTATTTTAATGTTGAACTTCATGAAAAGTGATGAAGGTTTTTATCCTATTTCTCCTAGACCACATTTCTGCCACACAGAATACTGTTTCAGTTCTACAACATGCATGCCTTAATCCACATGAAATCTCTGCCTACATGACAATTAAGTTGTTACAACGTGCAATACCTAAACTAACCTTGTTTTTTCAGAAGTTCCTACACAGCCTTTTTCTCAGCAGTTCTTCCAAATATTGATGCCTAGGGAAGAGAAAAGAGATACTACATACTATTATGCTAATCTAAAGTATCTTCACTTAATTTTTCAAAAACGGAAAAGTGGTGTGATGTTACAAAAAATAAATCTGAAGAACTGGGGAAGGATAGGCACCTCCTTACAGAGGTAGTTGCTTTTAGAACTCTACACAACCAGAAACCATACACTTAGTTTCACACCACAGAATTAATTACCATAGAAGCAGGATAGTCCAGCCCAGGCTTGGCAGATTGTCCTCATTTCAAATCCTAGCTCATAGAACTCTTTTCCCAGTGTATACCGTGGATAGCTTTGTTGAAAGAAAGTTTCTTCCATGCGCTTTGATAAAAATAATTTACTCAGTAAGTTAGAGGGAGTGCCCTAGTGATATTTTTGAAGTATGGATTTTTCTGGTCTGTTCCTTTTCACCTGATTTGGCATAAATTAAAAAAGCCTAATCTACTTCATTGCCAGTTCCGTCCATAATGTTCACAGTGGGTTTAAAAGTAGTCAGGACTGTCTTCTTCCAAGAGAATGGCTCAGTTGCGTGAATTAAGATCCAGCCATGAAATACTTCTGTATCAATCCAGTGCTTGCTAGGCAAGTGAAGAAACCTAATGATACATTTTCCTAGGAACTTAAAGAAAAGATTCTTTCACAAATAGCATTAATCCATTACTTAAATAGCTTTTTAGTGGCTTTCTCTTCTTTTTTTTTTTTTTTTTTTTTAAAAAAAAAACTGTCTTCTTCCAAGAGAATGGCTCAGTTGCGTGAATTAAGATCCAGCCATGAAATACTTCTGTATCAATCCAGTGCTTGCTAGGCAAGTGAAGAAAACCTAATGATCATTTTCCTAGGAACTTAAAGAAAAGATTCTTTCACAAATAGCATTAATCCATTACTTAAATAGCTTTTTAGTGGCTTCCTCTTTTTTTTTTTTTTTTTTTAATCTAACATAACAAACATCCATGACTACACATCTGAAATGTCATTGTTACAGTAAACAATTGAAGTGACCTCAAAATGTTTGAGAGAGCTTTAATCCTAAGAGCAAGATTGGGAGGCCTGGTTCCATATATGACGATATGACTTCTGTTCATTTTTTTACAGTTAATATGCAAAGTGTCTACTTTAAGAGCACTGTGTGGACGACATACAGAAAAGCTTATGGCATTTAAAGCAATATACCCAGACATTGTACGACTTCATTTTCCTCCACTTTACAAGGAGTTGTTCACTTCAGAATTTGAGCCAGCGATGCAAATTGATGGGTAAACGTATCACCTAAGCACTTCTAGAATGTCTGAAGTACAAACATTAAAACAAAAGAAAGGAAAAGAAAAAAAAAAGAAAAAAAAAGAAAGAAAACCAAGACACTTTATATGGCCCTGCACAGACCTAGGGAGCCAACACACTGCACATCTCTTGGCGGTCGGGGTCAGGCGAAGGATGGGAAACAATGAAACAAAGTTGAACTTGTTTTTCTCATGCATATGATTTCCATTATGCCTACAAATATGGACCCTTTTTCTGTCTCAACTTCTCAATCCTTGACCTCTGTTTACACAGACTGAGGGTACTAATGTCAGAAGGTTGTTTTCTCTTGTAGTTCACTGCCCAGACTTTTGACAGAACAATCAATTTGTTGATCAGAACAGAGAGTCCACCTAGTAATCAGCGACTGGTGTGCATTGCAGAGATTTCAGCATCAGTTTGCACAACTTGCTCATTGTTTCATGAAGGACGATTTTTTTTCACCTACCACTGTTTGCCAGTAGACAGAACGGCATGAAAAGGGTCCATAGCAATAGCAACAATAGCATTATAATATATTACAGGGTAAATGGGCATGAAGACTATATATAGCAGAAGAGATATTGTTTATATATTGTTTTAATTAATATAAAATGTAGTTACTGGTATAGCTTTTCTTGTTGAATTGATAAGGCACTTTCATTTTGCACCTTTTTCTTTAAATTAAATGCTAGCGTGTTCATTGTTGTGTTGCATGTGCACCAGAAATTCAAGTTTAACTGAAAAAGGTTTGGCAGGTACTGGTACATTGGGAGGTATTTATGCTGCTGTTTTCCATGTTACTTTTAAAGAGAGGCTGGTCATATCCTGAAATGGTTACACAGATTATTTTTTTTTTTAAAGAGTTGAAAATAATGACAATTTTCTAAATTAAAATCAGCTTTTCAGCTGTTGATTTCAAAGGTACTTTTATTTTAAAATCTCTCAAACCTGGATGTTTAAAATTGCATGCCTAAATTCAGATTTAGGTGCACAAGTCAAAAGCCTCATTTTCAAAAGTGCTGAGTTTCCACGGTCAAAGTTAAACTAAGCAATTACACATCATTTACAAATGAGTAACACAGCATCCTTGAAAATCAGGCTATTAACTAAAGTGTATTTCTGCCCAACATAAATCCAGGTTTGAAGGTATTTACTCAAGTCTGTATCTACTCAAGTCTGTATCTACAGTAAAAGTATGTGTGTATGACATGTATGTGGAAAAGTAATTTTTATACATAATATTACATACTTTTTTACTCCATATCGTAAACAATGCCTTCAAACTCCAAACTCTAGCCTATTAAAATCCAAAGGAGGTTTGTCTTTGACTTCAGTGAGATGAGACACTGACCCATGTTCTTCCAGCATCCAGCAGTTCAATTTCAGGGAGCTGAACAGAGAAGTCCATTGCTCTCCTTATTGAAAAAGATGCACTTTAAAGTTTATCAGATGAGGACAGACTAACAAAGTAAAGGCACACTGTTGCTAGAAAGCACTGTTGTGTACTCTGTATAATGCCTGGAAATCATAAATATCATAAATCTGTGTTCTGTAATTCTGAAATTGTGATTCCCTTATTGCATAACCAACCAGTAAGCCGAATCTTGCAGTCTTTATTATTAATAATTACCATTCCCTTTAGGAAGAATACTGTCTCCGAGCAAATTTGGCAAGTAAACCTAGTTCTGAAGGAAGCAGATGCACAATAAACAACATCACAAAATAAACAGTGGCTGTTTGAGCCAGAGGTGCATAATTGGTTTGGATGAGATGAGGATGTGTAACTGGATGCCTTGTAGGCCTACACAAATGAAGCTTCTGGTGAAGTAAATAAGAAAAAGCCAGGAACTTTAAAAAAGAAAAAGGAATGAGACGAAATGTGCTCCACTGCTTTAATTTCCAAGGATAAACAATCTCTTACACATATTATAGTCATTGAGAAGTAACAGAAGTCAGTGAAGCACACCGAAGCCTAACTATTTTAAAAAGGAGAATTAGGTCAGTAGGTTATTATGAGCAAAATAGACGTTTATTCTGTGATTTGAACATGTTTCCTTTGGGGTCAAATTGAGACATTTAGCTGTGACACCTATTAAAAATGTTATAGTCTGCCACATCAGGGAAGCTTACAGCTATTACTCATCTCTATGGTTTGAAAGGAGGGGAAGATGAGCATCGTATGTTTCCCCTTCAAAGCAGTACGGTCCTGGAGTATGGGACGGGAATACCTGCACCTCCACGAGCACCGGGATGGAGGCATGAGGGGGCTTTTGGAAAAAGTCCATAGAGCCGTCCTTTTACTGCTCCATCCTGCCTGCTCCCGAAGAGGCGGCTCACAGCCCAGCACAGGCTCTCTCCAGTTTCACTGAAACACTTTTCCTAGAATCATTGTTTACTTTATTGGAGTAACTGGAATGATACGGTACTTTCATTCTAATGTGTGTTCCTATTTTTAAAGCAACCCTTTTAACTAACAAATGTTTTCTGAATGTGACCAGCCTTAGGTGCTAGTCCTGTAAAGACCAACTAAACTTAATTTCAGTGTCAACTAATGAATAACGAAGTAAGACCTGTACTTTTTTAGAGAGTGAGATAGAACTCCTACTTCTGACAATAAGTAGACTACCAGGAAAAATATTTGGGGATTCATTTTCAGTCACGTCCTTTTCTTACCTTTTCCTGATGAGTATTAGTACTCTACTAAGCATCTAGGTGCCAATGGTTTTGTTTGGTATCTAGTTCAGCATATTTACACCCACAAGTCATTGACAATACAGGTTTTTGGAGCATTTACTAATAAAATACGTAACCATAAAAAGGTTCCAGGTAGAGCCTTAGCTGAAAGCCCGTTGCATCTGAAAACAGCTTGTAATGTGATCTTCCAGGCCAGAAAGTGCTGTCATTTGTGTCCGTGGGGGCTCCGGTGTACTGGCACCTTGTTAAATCAGGCTGTGCACACATACCCCAAGTAACTCTGCTTTCTTGATCACAGCTAACAGCCACTTGGCAATAGAATATGATTTTCGTTTTGCTCTTCATAGACAGAGGAGTAAAAGGGATACAGCATGGCAGATGTACTGATAAGACTTGTTGCCAAGGAGGCTTTTATGAAAGGGGATATAGAATAACGTCAGAGCAATGGCCATGTCAGAACCCAGCGCAGCAGAGGAGGTACACTCTGCAGAATCTCTGGGACTATGGCCTGCTGTCAGATGATCCACCAAATATTCCGTTAAAAAACAAATTTGGGGTCAAGTGAGTATTTCCGTCATCTGCCCAGTTCACTACAAACAAAAACGTGAGGACAGCTGAAGGTAAAGGAATAATTTTTTTTTTTTGAATGATCTGTTCCTTAAAGTCTGCAAAGAGATTTTCATCGGGTGTTATATCTATCCACAGAGATATTTTCTGGCTTTCTAGGAAAGAGAGAAGATACTATACTATACTATACTATACTGTCATTTTAACCACCCTAATATACTTCAACATCTCCAACATTGTTTGATGTTTTAAAAACTATGGGATTAGGTGAAAAGGGAGGCTGTTCTTAAGTTTGGTTGTTCTTTATTAAAGCTTCTCTATCTTAGTATGGATACCAAGATATCTGTGTGTATGTGCACCTGTGCGTGTGTGAGAGAGTACATTTGTGTGCGCACATGAATATATGCGTGGGTACGTGTGAGTGGCTGCTTCTAGGCTGTTAAGTGTCAATGGAATAAAGAAAATGTATTCAAAATACTTAAGTCAAAAATAGAAGGTGGAAAAAAAGATTTATTCTATACAAAGCCTTGTCTGGACCACTTTAGAGAGACTTCTATTTTTTTAACCCTTCTATAAATGTTTGATGGCACTTGAAATATTCCTGCAATAAAATGTGATTTGTGTAAACATTAAAAAAAAAAAGATTTTGTAATGTGAAACAATGAAAGAAAGTAATGTAATTTTTCTAAAAAACAAAAAAAAACCAAACGAACGAACTTTGTATTATTTTCTTGATGGAATTTGTCTATTTGTCTTTGGAAAACTTTTTATTTCATTGAATGTGCCATAGTAGAGGTATGTTTTTCTTTTTCTTTCGTTTTTTTTTTTATTTTTACATTTTAGATTAAAGGAATTAGCTGTGTTCCGACATTCCAAAATGCAAGATGACATAGCAGTCGTGATTAAAAGGTTTGATTAGTAAGCTTCAATCATTGTTGCTTTTTTTGCACATGTTCTTCATTCCTCTACAGTGCAATATGTACATAGAGCACTTGCGGGTGTAACCTTGATCCCTCAGGGAAAAATACATATTTGTACAGGATTTTTCTTTTTTTTTTTTTTGCCTTTTTTTTTTTTTTTTTTGCTAAGGAATGTCGATTGAATCACTTGTCTGTTGTTGAGGGGCAGCCAGATAATAATCCTAAACCACTGTCACAAAACATTGTTTAAATTTTGTGCCCTTTTATTATTTAAAAAAGAAAAATAAAAGTTATTTTCTGACAGTTCTTTGTGCTGATTGGTGAAAAAAAGGGTAAATAGATAAGCACCTTATGATTGACTTAACTGTGAATGACAATCCATCTCGTTATCAACAACAGAAGCCCTATCATTTTGGAGCTGGGGTTAAGCGTCAGAAACTAATGTGCTCAGGGATCTTCTAAAACTCTTCAACAGGGTGGCCAGTACTACTGGTGGAACAAATTACTTTTAAAAAAAATATGCTAGTATTTCTTCCCTTCCCCCTCCCCCCCAGGCACAAGAGAACTGGATATTTTTTTTAACTAAATGCTCTATGCGTGCCTCATTCTCTTTCTCAGTTTTGCAGTATAGCTGCTCTTTGATCTTTATTTTGTTCAAAACAAAAGTACTCCAAACAGCGCAAAGGTTTTGCAATTATATTTTAGAAAAGAAATTAATGCTTACCCATTAAATGAATGATTGAAATTAATTTCAATACCCTCTGGACATTTTTTTTATAATGATAGGACTATTTTTCCAGCTGAATTTCAGTGTTTTGCAATAGAAAATGGGTTTTCAGTGTTAAAATTATTGTCAAAGAAAACAAATTAGTTTATGATAGCACAGTAAGAATGAAAAGGTACTGATGAGGTTTCGACAATGAAGTCACATAGAAAGGAACAGAGATCGGCAGGACTACAAGAACAATTCAGACATTGTCTGTCATTGTTGCATACGCTTCACGGTAAAGCAAAAAACCTGACGGGAAAGAAACATTGAGGCTGAGCCATTTTCCTATCTAGTACATCAAATACAGCAATTCCAAGTGATTACAATGGCACCAAAAACCAGCGATGTCTAGGAAGTCTCCACGTGTCAAATTGTAGGATTCTGGAAGCCTGTCCCATTTCGCCTTGGCTTATGGCTTCACATTCTTTTGAAAATGCAAGTAGAAAAGTAAATAAGCAACTACAAACACAATGAGCAAGATTTCAAGACTTTGGTTAGACTGGGAAGAGACTGAATTTCTCCATCAAACCTGTCTGTCTTCTTGCAAAAAGCATCAGTTCTCCAGTATCTTAGGTTACTGAGGTTTTTTTCACTGGGTATATGGCTTCCAGTTGTTTACTTTAGGTTGCTTAATAAACAGGGAAACCTTTCTTACGGTTTTACAGGCTGATAGTCGAGTTTAGCTTGGAATGGCCTTCCAAGCCAGACAACCGCTTAGCAAGTACGACCTCTTGATCAGTTTGTGTTCTGGCATCTTCAGCAGAAGAAAATTCCTATTGCTGATTCGCAATAGAACCTATTCTTTATGTGCTTGCAGATCAATTAAGCATACTGTTAATATGTA